CTTCCCAAGTAGCTGGGATTACAGGCATATGCCACTGCACCTAGCTTCTTTATAGGAAACTTTATATAATAATGATATGAGCTGGGCACATAACCTGTAAGTGGCACATACCTGTAATCCCAGTGGCTTGGGAGGCTGAGGCAGAAGGATTTCAAGCCTTAGCAATTTAGCGAGGCCCTAAGCAACTCAATGAGACCCTGTCTCTAAATAACATACAAATAAGGGTTGGGGATGTGGTTCAATGTCCCTGGGTTCATTCCCCAGAATCGGATTAAAAAAAAAAAAAAGATTTGAAAAGGCTATTAAAGAGTGTGTATCTCAAAAAAAGAATTATAGAAAAAATTGTATAGGTTTGCCAGGCAGATAATTTTTTGGCAGATTTTTAAAAATTCCAATTTCTTGAGATCTTTTCTCATTTAAAAAATACTCACACAAGTCTTTTTTAAATTAGAAATTTGTGATTTTGCATTTACTTTTTCTTAAAAGGGGCTCCAAAAAAATTGTATCCTCAGGCATCCAGAAAACTGAAATCTATCCCTGGTACTATCCAAATGGATATGGTGAGTTTCTATCCCAATTAGGGGAACTGTGCTCCAGCATTCTGTATCTTGACTTCTAGAAAATACTAAAGTAACATGTTACAGGAAGCAAGAGGGCTAACTAGACAGAAGTATGAGTATTAAGAATTTGGGGTATGGGCTGGGGTTGTGGCTCAGTGGTAGAGTGCTTGCCTAGTGCGTGCGAGGCCCTGGGTTCGATCCTCAGCACCATATAAAAATAAATAAATGAAAAACAAAGGTATTGTGTACAACTAAAAGAAATTAAAAAAAAAAAAAAAAGAATTTGGGGTAGACTTAGATTAGCAAAGGCTGCATTGAAGTTGTTTGTGAAAGAAGGGGGTTCAGACAAATCTATTGCTAAATTAGGATGTCAGACATCTGGAAAAGAGGTCAGGGCCACAGAGCCCCTAGGCAATAGGTTATGGAGAGAACCCCTGAACAGCTCCACACTCACCTCTCCTTGGGTGCCTGCTCCTCATGCTGACTCTTCCCTTCAACATATCTGGTTTCACTTACAATACCCAAGAAAGAGTAGGTGCTCTGCAGTGACATCACAACTTGGCCATTATGATGTAATGAGGAGGCATCTGATTATGCTCCAGCTGGTGCTTCCCTATGAGGAACATTGTTGTCTCATTACCTTGTGAGTAACTGGATTCTTCCATCATTCAGGTGATGTGGGAGTCAATCCTGTTAGAACTTGATCTTTTGTGCAAGTACTTTGATATTTATTTTTATCATTCCATTATGGGTCAGACAGAGGTTCTTGCTTTTCTACATATTTCTCATCCTTTATTTTTGGGTTGCCCTTGATAAGCAAAGGGATTTAATCTCCCCTTTCAATATTTAAGGAGCAGAATACAACACAGATGGCTTCTTAAGGAAGAAGATCCCCAACTCAATAGGAAATAGGGCTTTTCCCAATCTGTTCCCTTTAAACGCACCAGCAGCTGGTGCTGGGTGTCAGCTAGGCCCTGGTGACTTTCTCACCATGCCAAATGGTGGTGGGATCCTGTTGGGCTATCTTATACCAGGGCTGCCCAACTCCTCCATATCTCCTTCCCATACAACTTATACAGAGCCTATTCTTCAGCAGAATAGGAATAGAATTTTAAGAAATGAAATGACTTTTAAGAAATGAAAGTAATTTGGAGGGGGTTTTCAGGGAGGGAATCTTGTTCTGAATCCCTTGCTATCTCAGTCCAAAACAAAAAATACTTCCAAGTACCTCATATTTTATTTTCAGATTTCAACTTTATTTCAAATATGAAGTTTTGTACCCAGAAGGAATGGCAACTGCATGAGGAATTTGAAATGAGGCACAATACTACTGGAATGGGTTTGGGGGAAACTCTGAGAGGACCTGGTGAGAACATTAGTTTTGGGGGGATTTGCATAGCAAATTTTCATTCTTTCCCTGGGTTTGCTATTCAATAGGTGGACTATTCAGTCTCAAGGTCAGTGCTCTTTGGCAGTATCTCCAAAAGAATTCCCAAAGTTGGGAAACAATCCTTTGTTTTTCTTTATGCTTGGAAGAGGAAGGGAATGGAAACTAGTAGGAAAAAAAATAAAACATTGTTATCTCTTATGAAAAATCTTGGGGCTGTTCCTCAGTCAGGGTGTGTGTGTGTGTATACACACACACATATACATATACATACGTATTATTTTTTGAGACAGGGTTTCACTAAGTAGCTTAGGGCCTTCTCAGTTGTTGAGACTGGTTTTGAACTTGTGATCCTCCTGCCTCAGCATTCCGAGCTGCTAGGATGTGTACCACCACAGGTGTGTGCCACCACACCTAACTCAGCCTGGTAATATAGTCAGGAAGCTGAGTTAAGCCCATTTTCAGTCACACAAATTATCTGATCCTGATGAGGTTAGTTCTCATCTCTGGACCTGTGTGCTCCTCTGTAAAGAAGCCTCAACCTAATGGTTTCTAAGATAAGCCTTTCAGGTCTCTGATGTTATAACCTGTATTAACAAGATCCAAAGGAACTCCAGAGAAACACAGGAGTTAGAAGCAAGGAAATGTGGGAATTAGACTTTCACAACTCTATGAAAAAAGTTGATCAGATAGGGCTTATTATGTAGAGAAGTGATGAACTACAATCATAAAGAGAAACAAAGGAACAGAAGAAGGCTATAGGACAAGTGTAGGACAATTTCTGAGTTCTGGATGAGAAAAGAGACACAGTGTTCCTTCCTAGAGGGTTGCTTAAGGATCAACTCCCTGACTTCTCTTGTGGCTCTTCCTAGTTCATGGCTACCATGTTATATTCCAAATTGTTCCTATTCATAAACCATCAGTTTTTAGAGTCTTCACCATAATTGCTTAATGCATAACATATAATAGGGCCCCTGCCCCATGAAAGATTCAGTCAAACTTTCCCATGTCACTAGCTAGGAAAAGTCACAGGTTGCAGCAGTCTAGGTGTACCCTTCTGTGCTTACCCTCCTGTGTAAGAAATATGGATGGGACTTGATGGAAAGGGGATATGGCCTAATATTGGTAGCTCAACCCAAGGTGAGGAAAAGCCAGGCTACAGGGACATATCCTGGAGCAGTAGTACATACCAAAAGCATCTGGGTAGGAAATCTCTTCAGAGAATCTCAAAAGGACCAGGCATACAAAAGTCTCTCAAGGTATTTGTTTCTTCCCTATTTTACAAGGCTTGGTGGTACTATTAGTTGTTTAAGTCCACATTTAAAATATGAAGCACCCATTATGCATGTGTGCAAGGAGGCTCAGCCCAGGCCCCCATCTTGGGGCAACAATGGGGAAAACTGTCAGCTTACTCCCAAGCCCTGCAACAGTTTAATATGGGAAGAACTGGAAGATTCTCATTATTCTTTTTTTTTTTTTCGTTGTGGTGCTGGGGATTGAACCCAGGGCCTTGGTGCATGTGAGGCAAGCACTCTACCGACTGAGTTATATCTCCAGCTCCAGATTCACATGTTATTCTGTAAAGCTGAGAACAGGACTATGACTGAGCCACTAATTCTTTCAGAGAAAGAGCTCAGGGGATTAGGATTATCCCTAGTTCCTTTTCTCTGATCAAAGTTGGCATTTTATCCACTTAGTAATACTAGAGATCCCAGTGAGCCCAGGCCCACACCCTAGCTAAGGACCTTTCTAATGGAAACACCAGGGAATTGACCTTCAAGGATAGTGGGAAAGGAGAGGTGGTGGCACATTAACAAGTATGGAGGATTGGCGACAGCCAATGTACAAGAGAATCCCAATGTATAGAAAGGCTGGAGTATGAACAGGTTTCCAACTTTTCTAGCACACAGATGGATGGGCCCTTGTTGATCCTGCAGATCTGGCATAGGAGATAGCAGCAAATTCCTGGGAGGAACAGATGAAACCTAGGGCTCTTAATATCTTCTCCAAGTCAGTTCAGGGAAATGGGAAGATGGGAAAGCAGAGCACAATCAGGAATTATGCTTTTTTCTTATTAAGAGATGACATAGCAATATTTTTAATTTTGTCATTTTTAAAGAATAAGAATGCAGGGAACGGGTTGTGGCTCAGTGGTAGAGCACTTGCCTAGCATGCATGAGGCACTGGGTTCATCCCCAGCACCACATAAAAACTACAACTAAAAAAAAAATAAGAATGCAATATCATGGTTATGCACATGGGCTCTGCAGATTTCTTGGGTTCACAATTCATGTACTAGCTGTCTGGTTTTTTTTTTGTACTAGGGATTGAATCCAGGAGCACTTTACCACTGATCTATATCCCCTGTCCTTTTTATTTTAAAACAGGGTCTCATTAAATTTCAGAGGCTAGCCTTGAATGTGCAATCCTCCTGTTTCAGCCTCCTGAGTCACTGGGATTATGGAGTGTGCCACTGCACCCTGCATAGCTGTGAGATCTTGAACAAGACTAGAGTTTCTCCAGGGCTTATCTTTAATAGAAGAGGAATAATGATACTGATACTCAGGATTATTTTGAGCATGCACATAAAACAGATTTTAGCAGATAAATGTTAAGAAAATGGGCTATTACTACTATTAATATGATATAACGGTAACACATACAAGTCAGGCAAGACATTATTAGAAAATGAACCTCAACCCAGACTTCCTGGGTTCTCACTGATGACTAAACCGTGCATTGCTTGGTGACTTCCAGTAATTTCTTTCTTCACTTTGCTGGAACTCTGACCTGAGGTTGACCTACAAGATACATGAAATTCTTTTTTCCCCCACAAGATTATGATGATTTGCTTGAGTAAAGATCCAGAGTTCCTTTCTTGCCTCAAAGGATTAAGGCTGTGAACAGTAAAAGCATTTAAACAAATCCCATATTTTATTCTGAATACATGTGTGGGCACATGTACATGCCCCCTTCACTCAGAGTCACAGAATAAGGGGAGACAGAAGTTTTTGAAAAATTAGTAATGAAAAAGGATGTGGGAAGCTGGTTACCTTAAAGCTCCTTGTTCATCTGTAACAACAGGAACTGCTTCTTTCCCCTTTTCTCCCTTTAGAAGACTGTCAAGAAGGAGCCTGAGGGAGGAAGGTGGATCAACCATGGTCTTGGAGAAAAGGAAGTAGACTCTCTACCCCTTCTGGAGGAAGAAGGAATAGCAGAGATCAACTAAGAATGAAGAGGGAAAGGGAGAAAATATAGGTAAATGACCTAGAATAAAAGTAAATACCTTACATGTTCAAAGAAAAAAAAAAGTGATGAAAAGGGAGAGGAACAAGAAAAAAAGCAAAAAGCAAAGAGGTTAGGTATAGGGTAAGAGGAAAGGAAACTAAGCAACCAGGAAAGAAATAACTCCCATGTTAAGGTTAACCAAGAGAGACATGAATGGGAATGGGTAGAAGAGTCAGCTTTCCCATTTCACTGGCTCAGAATATGGATAAGACTGCCATTTTCTGGTGTCATTTGTCAAGTTGCTCTCATTCTTGATGTTTTCCATTCTTTATTCTCAAGAGAGATCCTGGCATTGTTTCCTTTCATTTGGGGGCTCTCAATCATATTCCCAACTCAGATATACCTCCCCAAAGCTGTCTCAGAGCATCCAGGCTGGAAATCTCTGGAGGCAAGAGCAAAAAGCAAGGGGCAGTAGATGTGCCATGGTTGGGAAGACGCTACGGGGTGATTGTGGAATACTTTCTGGGTTCTGAAACATTCTTGCCCAAAACTGGAGGACCCCTCCTCAGCCACAACCATAAGCTCAGGGTTTGTCTCCTGAACTATAGTAAAAAGTTGAAAAATGTGGCTTCTAATCTACACTATACAATGCAGATGATAAAATGTCAAACAAAATGGAGCTGTAAAAGAACTACATAAACCAAATCCAATTTCCCAAGAAGCAAAGTGGGGCCCAAAGAAGTACAACTTGCTTAAAGTTGTACAGCCAGTCAGTGACTTCTTTTTCTTCTAAACCAGAAGCAGCAAATCAGAATAGTGATTTTTTGATTCACTGTTCCTTGACAACAGTCCATAAAGTGCTTAGAGGTTATTAAAAGGTACCCAGAAATATAAGGCTGACATTTTTCTGGAAGCCCCTGAGTAAATCAACACCTTAGGTGCCCCATTATTGGGCTACAAGGACAGGCTGGGGTTGCTTTTGCCTCAATTATAATCCGGAATTTGCCTGGAGGACGGAGAAAATAGTTCTACCTGTCATCATTCCCCAGCCAATACATGAAAATTTTAGGGAGGAACTGTCGGGTGATAAGGGAATCCTGTCATGCCAGGGTCCAGAAGGAGCAATGGCCAAGTTCCTAGGATTAAGCAAGGCAATTATAGCTGAGATAAAACTAGGATGGGCAAACTGAGGGACCTGAGGTGGCAAAGGCCAAAAAACCGAAATAAACCAGCAATCCGTTGACTTCAAATGGGATGGATTATTTCACACGTCACACCTCCTCAATCCATAATGCCTCCTCAAACCCAAAGACTTTCCTAACATTTGACTGCCTAGGCCTGCAACTCACTCTCTCCCAGTGACCATTCAGCAAAGAGGCTACCATCATCCCCCTTCTTTAGCTTTCTTCTAATCCCTCTGGTTTCCTTTCTCCCTTGCCTTGGGTTCTTTTCACTCACATCCAGCCAGCATTTTCCACCTCGAGTTCCCCAAACCTTGTTGATTTCTCCCACGTTCCTCGCCCTCCCCCACCTGACTGGGACCTCTCCCGGTCAATCTAAGTTTCTCCCACTCCTCCCACCACATTGGTTTTCCCCTGCCCCCCAGGTGCCTTAGTTTTTTTCTGCCACGGGCTGCGGAAGTCTTGTCTTAGATAAAGTGGATCCAGCCCTGGGGCTCCGGGGCTCCGGCACTGCCCGGATGCTCGGGCCCACGCAGAGCATAGTCACGGCCGCCGTTGTTGTCCCAGAACTCGCGACCGGTCACACGGTAGCGTAGCGCGAAGAGCAGGGCGCCCCCAATGGGCGGCGCTGGAAGACGGAAGGCGAAACGATCTGCTCGCGGAGGGGGCGGGGCCGGACCGGCGTAAGCGGCGAGCGCTTCGCGCTGGCTTCTCCAGCCGTCGGCGCTCCAGCGCACGCTAACGCGCTTCTCGTAGGCCAGGTCCAGCACGCGCGCGCTCCCAGCCACGCCCAGTGGGCCCGCCTCAGCGCGCTCCAAGCAGATGCGCTGCGCCTGTAAGCGGGCGGCGAAGCCGGGCTCGCTGGCCGGCTCTAGGGCTGCGCGCGCCTCCTGTGGGAGTGGAAAAAAAGGACAGGGAGGAGGGAGCACGGGGCGGGGAGTGGGAAGAGAAGGAGGCGGGGTCAGAGCGGGACACTGGACCAATCAGAGGCCGACGCGACGTCCGGGACAGCAGAGTGGGGCCCAGCTGAAGAGTGGCCTAGAGTCCTAAGCGAATGGACCTCAAAAGGGCTAAACAGGCGCAAGCCTATGGTTGGGGATGGGTGTGTTCCTTGACAAATCCACTCTCGTACGACCGCCGCAGCCGATAGGGACAGGTCCCGGGGAGTGGGGACGTGCCCCGGCCGCCTACCTGGAGGCTTCGGGAGCGCGGCTGACAAGGCGCGAAGTGGCGGAGGGCGTCTCTTTGCAGCTGGATCTGCACGTGGCGGGGTACCCGGGGCAGCTCTCCGGGGCGGAAGCGGCGCACCGCGGCCAGCTCCAGCCCCAGCGCGTCAGCGAAACGCACTCTCTTGCGGGTGTCCGGGCTTCGGCTGCGGGGTGCCCGGGCCCCGCCGCCTCCGGCGGGTGCGGAACGGGCCCGGCGACCCCGACTCGGAGCGTGAGCGCGGGATCGGGCCCCCAGACGCGTCCCGCCCTCGGCTGGCTCCTCCTCCGGCTCCTCCTCGAGGCTGGGCCGCTGGCTGCGGTAGTAGGCGCGCTCGGTCAGCGCAGCTATAAAGCTCAGGTTGCGGGGTATGTCGGTGCGGGGGGGCCGCTCGCCGGACATGTTATCTCCCGCACCAGCGGGGCTGGTCTGCAGCACCCCGGGGCTGCCTTCCCTTCCTTTTGCCCGCTTGCCCTGCGTCCTCACAGAAGTCACCTGGGCCCACTTCAGATTCCCCTAGCCGTTGCGTACTCTCCTTGCTGTCACCTCCGGGATCCTCCACCTCCCGTTGCTCTGCATGGTCTCCGTAACCACCTTTCCCTCTCTCTGACCGTCAGCTCCCAGGGTTTTGGACTGTCACATCCTTCCTCCTATGAGATGTGTGCTCTGAGCGTGCGCTCCACGACGCTCACCCTTGGGTTCTGCGGGCCTCAGTCCCGGACCCCGCCCCCGCCCCCTACCCTCTGACAGGTGGCTTGGTATCAGTCTTAACTGCTGCACCAGGGGGCGGGGACTCCATCCTTTTGATCCCAAGTGAAGCCACCAAGCCCCTTAAAAAAAAAAATCCTCAACCTTTCTGGCACGGAAAGGGTTAATACAGGAACGAAAAGGTAACCTTTCATTATTTTGAAGGTTCAAAACACCCAGAGTGTGACTGTCTTCAGGTCTCACTTTTTTTTTTCTTTTGCCCAGGCGTGGGAGGGGGGTGATAGTGGGTGCAAAGGAGGGAAAATCATGAACACTAGATAGAATTTCAAATACAGGGTATGACATTGCACTCAAAAGGATTGGTGGTTAACCCAGTGGAAAGAGGCTGGAACTGAGCAGTGGGAAAAACCTACAGCCTAGTCCCAGGTCTGGGACTGTTTAGCTTTGTGACCTTGAGCAAGACACAACTTCTCTGAACCTCTGTTTTCTCACCTCTGAAAAAGTGGGTTAAAATTCTGATTTTCTAAAATTTGTTTTGATACTAGGGTTTCAACCTAGTATCGAGCCATTCCCCCCAGCACTTATTTTTAATTTTGAGACAGAGTCTCATTAAGTTTCTGAGGGCCTTACTAAATTACTGAGGCTGGTCTCAAACTTATGATCCTCCTGTCTCAGCTAAGTCACTAGGATTACAGGCTTACACCACCACACTTAGCTTAGAGTTTTGATCTCTAACCCAACTGTAAACTCTTTGAGGAAACACACTGTATGATTTATGATCAGTTTAGCACATGGTAAGTCATCAAAGTATTAAATGAGTGAGCACAGAATAACTCTTGGAGCTGGGACTGTAGGGTTCTAGTTCCAGTGGGAGCTCACTGGACTGAAGGTTGTAGCATTGGCTTTTTCTCCTTTTATTCTCCCCTATGTTAGTGAAAAAAAACATGTGAAGTGTATTTATTTTTTTTTCTAACTTCCCTACTGATCTTATGTAGCACGATGTGCTATGTACTGTTTTGAGAGTTTTACAAATATTAACTTACAAAATACAATCATCATAGGAATAGGGAGTACTATTAGGCCTATTTTACAGGTAAGTTTATCAAGGGAGAGAAGGGTTAGGACCCTTCCCCAAGGACACAGAGTTAATAATTGGGGATCTGGAATTGGAACCTCAGCAGTCCATTTCTAGAATTCACTTTCTTTCCATTTTGTTATACAAAATTGAAACATTTAATGATAATGTTAACATCTTTAGAATATTAAAATAGGAAATGTTAGAGTGGAAATAAAATATCTAAATTTAGAACAGCAGGTAGTTTGAAAAATTACAACCCCTAGGTTGGAAATAAACAGTGAAACATGCTATCTTACTATCTACAATTCATGCCTGTTGCATTTTCACACCAGTATCATCCATAGTAATGCTATTTAGTCAGAACTTGTTTTTAAAACCATATTGAGTTTTATGTTCTTATTTTACACATACATATTAAATCTATGAACATATTTTCTTCATATCTTATGACATAAAATAATCATATGCTAATTAAGGTTACAGTCAAGCAGTATAAAAGGATTTTCCTTGCTTTGGTAAAACAATGTGTCATTGAAATAAAATAGATGAAGGTCAGCCTTTGTGACCTCAGGTTTTTCTGGCAAAGGCTTTGTTGCTTTGTGCTATACCTTGGCTCTGCAGTGTTTGTCTGAGAAGATACTTGAGATACATAGCTTTGGACCGGGTATAAGTTATAGCTCTGTTTTGCTGGTAGCTCAGATTGACACTGAATCTTTATTCCAAATCAAATATCTTTTTCCTTCTTTCCTTTCTTTCTTTGTGTGTGTTGTACTGTGGACTGAATCCAGAACCTTGTACTAGTAGGCAAGTGCTCTATCACTGAGCTTATATCCCCAGACCTTTTTATTTTATTTTAAGACAGGTTCTCTCTGAGTTGCCAAGGCTGATCTCCAACTTGTGAGATCTCCTGCCTCCTACTCCCAAGTGGATAGGATTACAGGCATGCATCACTGTGTCCTGCTCAGTTTTTCTTTCTTATGCAGCTACTGCAGCAGTCTTCAAATGTCTGGCTGGGATTATTCAATAATTGGCCAGAGGTGTCAATTGATTCATTCAGTCAACGTTTACTGGAGGCCTATTTGGCCACAAGGACACAAAAGTGAATAAACGTCAGTAGTTCTAGCTCTTGAGGCTTATAAATAAAAAAGGCAAATATATTTGGACACTTAAGACATTTACTTGAAATTAAAAACTGGTGATTTATCACAAGTAATTGTCTTAGAAGAAACCAGGATTGCAAATAGAGGACTTAACTAGGTTAGCCTGAAAAGAAGTGGGCAGTCTTCCTGGTGGCAGCTAGAAGAATCAGCTCAAGAGCAAAGAAGAAAGGAGCATGGTTGAAAGAGAAAGCTATAAAGAAGTGGATTTGGTTGTACATTCAGAATGGAATAGAGAATTAAGTGTGGTACCAGCCATGGTAGTGCATACCACTAATCCTAGCTATTTGAGTGAAGCAGAAGGACTGCAAGCTTGAGGCCAACCTCCACAAAAGGAAAAACAAAGAGAATTGAGTGTGGTCTTGTAAATAGTGTGGATTCTGTCAGAATAACATTGACTACTTGAAAGGGAAGAGATGATCTTGAGGTCAGACAGATTTAGGTTAAGTGGCAGTTTCTTTCCTTATTAGTATATGGCTTTGGGCAAATTACTCAACCTTTCCAAGCTTCAATTTCCTCATCTGTAGAAAGGATAAAATAGCATAAGGGTTGATGTGAGGATAATTTTTATTTTATTTTATTTTATTTATTTATTTATTTATTTTTGTGCTACTGGGCATTGAACCTAGAGCCTACAAGCAGTGTACCATAGAGCTATATCTCCAACTTTTTTTTTTTTTTTTTTTTAATTTTGAGACAGGATCTCACTTAAATTGCCCAGGCTTTCCCTTGAAATTGCAGTCTTCCTGCCTTAGCCTCCCAAGTAGCTGGGATCACAAGCATGTATCACAGCACCTGATTAGAATAAACTATTACACATATAAAGAAAGCACTGAGCACCTGGTAAGCCCTTACAATATGTTAGTTACTATTATTGTTATACAGAGGACTTTGCTTCTTTCTTGACCGTAAGAACAGGTGAGAGCATCAAGGATTGGATTGGAGGTAGATGCAAAGGGTGTGGATTCTGTCAGAATAAATGGAAAAGAACCAAAGGAAAGTAGAATTGGACTGCCACTTTCTGGCCTTTGGCTGGGGCTCTCTCCAAATGGAGTTGTGGAATTGTCAACTCCAAGAGCCCTGGGTGGCCTTGGAGTCGAAAGCTTGTGAGCGCCCTCATGTAGATCATTTGTGGTGAAACTGCTTCATGTCTTGTGAACTGCCCTTTATAAATGTATTGCCATTTATAAATAATATACATATATGTAATCTAGAAAGATAAACATTAACCTTATCATTGGCAACCTACAGTGAGGGAGGTGGAATTGGACAGGTACATGTGTGTGTGTATAGCTGAGTACTTGTATTTGATTACTCTCTATCTCTCTATTGTTTGATTTTTTTTTTCCCCATGAGAATGGGTTCATGTGCTGGATAAAAAAAAAAAAAGATTAAAAGGAAATCAATCTGGGGCTGGGGATGTGGCTCAAGTGGTATCGCGCTGGCCTGGCATGCGTGCGGCCCGAGTTCGATCCTCAGCACCACATACAAAGATGTTGTGTCCGCAGAAAACTAAAAAATAAATATTAAAAAAAAAATTCTCTCTCTCAAAAAAAAGAAACATACTCTATTAAAAAAAAAAAAAGGAAATCAATCTGATAACAAAAGAAGATGAAGAAAAGTACCTTTAGAAACTGCTTGGAATTTAAGTCCTGCCTGCCTGATGCCTGATTAAAGCCTCAGCCCTGGAAGAGACCACCAGATTAAAGGCCCTGGGGAAAAAGGGATTGGAAAGTTTTGGTATCCTTGTGGTATTTGCTAGTCCCATAAGGGCAAGGCACCTGGCAGGAAGTTTCCAGTATAATGGGAACTGCTCCTCTTTTTAAGGCATACAATCCAGGGCTAGAACAATTCAACAAGTGCATGGAATATCAGAGACCTTCTAGAAATGCTGAATTTGTACCACGATGTTCTGAGGTCCAGGGTATTTCTCTGGGCAGTCTCAAGGCTTAGCAGCTCAGCTCAGTCCAGCCCATGGTGTCTCTGCCTTCAGTGGCCCTCTCTTTCAGAGTTGTGGCCTTCCCAGGCCTGTGTGCGGCCCCGCCCCTCTCTCTGGACGCATCTCTGGGCCCCATCATCACCCGGCGCCAGGCCCTCCCTCCTGCCCCCCCCCTTCTCCTCCCTCCTTCCTTCCCTCCCTTCCTCCCTCTCTCCTTCCCTCCCAGCTCCTGCACCAGGAAACGGCCCGGATCCCAGCAGCGGCCTGACCCGTGAGATCCCTAACCTGGCAGGCGGGCGGGGTTGGAGACCAGTTGAAGGTGGGGGTAAGGTAGGAGCTGAGCCTTTGGGCTGCACTGGGGGGAGCCGAGAGTAGAGATGGTGCCGGCAGGAAGCCCTTGGCCCTGGGTTTCCCGGGAGGACAGTCATTAAACATGGATTCAGCCACACAGCTGGTAGAGCGTTGGGGGCAGGGACCAGGTTCCAGGAGCTGCAACCCCAGCCCTTCTCAGGCCAGATCCTGATCCCTGGCCTTCCCTGCATATTTCTGATCTCTCTCACCCTTTTTCAGGGCTCCACGCTGGCCGGGAGGATGAAAGGCCCCAGCTGGGGGCTCCTTGCCACCAGCGCTGGGTCCTAAGAGCTGCCATCCAGGCTGGGTGAGTGTCCCCTGCCTTTCTCTGTCCCAGCACTCTTTGGCTTCTCCCATATTTTTTCAGCCCTTATCTCCTCCCATCTTGTGCCTCTGCCAACATCTTCACATCTTGATTCTGGGTAGGTTTAAGCCCCTTCCTGTAGCCAAAAAGGTGTATACTATGGTGGGGGTGGGAGGGAGCTGTTGAGATGTTATAGAGCTGGTGTTATCTTATGCAAAGAATCTATTCTAAAAATAAAATTTCCTTGTTTTACATTTAATTTGGCATATAACAAATTCAGTGTCCAGCCCCTAATGCCCTGGCCCTATGACATAATTTAAATCCCTTGTTTCTTGCTCTTTGGTGCCCAGGGGTCTCTGATCATACCTCCTCCCCCACCTCATCTTACTGAGTTGGACAAACCAAAAACACCCCTTCTGGGCCTCTCTATATTTCATGTATTCATGCCAGTCTTTCATCCTTGCCCCTTACAGCCGCCCGGATGGCGACCCCAGCCTCGGCCCCAGACACACGGGCTCTGGTGGCCGACTTTGTAGGCTATAAGCTGAGGCAGAAGGGTTATGTCTGTGGAGCTGGCCCTGGGGAGGGCCCAGCAGCTGATCCACTGCACCAAGCCATGCGGGCAGCTGGAGATGAGTTCGAGACCCGCTTCCGGCGCACCTTCTCTGATCTGGCAGCTCAGCTGCATGTGACCCCGGGTTCAGCTCAGCAACGCTTCACCCAGGTCTCTGACGAACTTTTCCAAGGGGGTCCCAACTGGGGTCGTCTTGTGGCCTTCTTTGTCTTTGGGGCTGCCCTGTGTGCTGAGAGTGTCAACAAAGAGATGGAGCCACTGGTGGGACAAGTGCAGGAGTGGATGGTGGCCTACCTGGAGACGCGGCTGGCTGACTGGATCCACAGCAGTGGGGGCTGGGTAAGAAGTTTCTCAAATGCTGCTCTGCACATCCCTCTGCAAAGCTGTTCTCCAGGGGGAATATGGGGGCTCTGATTGGAGGCTGGGACAGCTGTGCTGGGAAGGAGGCATGGGGCTGAATTCTCCTATTTAGGTGGAGTCAGACTGAGGTTCCCTCACCGAGCATCACATTGGACTCTGTACTCCAGGGCTGCCATACAGTTATCACTGCATGGGCTTATGGTCCCAAGCAAAGGACAGAATACACAGTACCCAAGAAGTGCCTGCAGGGAAAGGTGTTACACCTGAGTATATGGCACGAGAGGTGGGGAGGATCAGGGATGGGTGGTGGTCAGGCAAGCCTTGGCAAAGGATGCCAGTTCTAAGCAGAATTTTTCATCAAGGAAAGGATGAGGCAGTGAGTGCAAGTGAGCCAGGCACTGGGGCAGAGGGGCTGCACATGGGGGGATCAGAGGGCTTGCAGTTGGTAGAGCTTTGGCTGGAGAGGAGCTGGGTATGGGATAGTGCTCGCAGTGGATGGAACTGGAACTCTTCCTCTCCTCTTCTCTCCACTCTTTCCTCTCCTGATATCCCTTTCTCCTTCTTTCTCTCCTACTTCCCTTCTCTCCCACAGGCGGAGTTCACAGCTCTATACGGGGACGGGGCCCTGGAGGAGGCACGGCGTCTGCGGGAGGGGAACTGGGCATCAGTGAGGACAGTGCTGACGGGGGCCGTGGCACTGGGGGCCCTGGTAACTGTAGGGGCCTTTTTTGCTAGCAAGTGAGAAAGTTCAGGGCCAGGTGGGGCTAGGTGTGGCTGGGGGCCAGGAGAGCAGGAACAGAGAACAAGAAGTGAAGTGAATGGTTGGGCATGGAACAGGGAAGGGGAGAGGTAGCATGTGAGGGAACCAAGTGTGCCAGGCAGGTGATTGGAAGAGTGAGCTACAGTTATTAAGGAGTTTTAAGAAAATCAGAGGACCAGGAGATGGAGTCATTCCAGGGTTTGGGGGGAGGTGGGAGGGATCATGCCTATAGGTATGGGCACATGAAACTACCCAGAGATGAATTTGCAGCGCTGAGGAAGGTGGACTTGCATAAGGAGTTGTGTCTCCCCTGGATAAGTGGGTTTTGGGGAACTAGAAGGCATATCCCTTTGGAATGGAAGCTTAGGGTTCTCAGGTGATTGGGAGAGGTGGCTGTGGCTGTGGGCTGCTTGGACACAAGTGTGCATGTGCACGGGTACTCGTGTGCATGCTGGGCTGTTTGTCTAATCTGGAGGTGGTTCAGATTCTTCAAGGAGAAAACATTCCCTTTTGCAGTGGCAAGAACAAGGGACAGTTCTCTGCCCCTCCTCCCAAACCCTCTTTTCCCTTCCCCTTGTCCAGATGCCTCAAGGCTGAAGGAGAAACACTGTATCCAGACGGAGGGCTCTGGCACTTCTCAGCAGAAAGTTGTTGGTAGGGCTTTGGAGAGAAAGCAATTCTGCAGCTGGCCTTGTTCCTTCATTACCCATTTTCCTGTGCATCATGAACTTCCTGCTGCCTCCTGGGCTCTGACAGAAGTGCAGGGCTCTGGAGCATGGGCAGGTGAAGGCTTCTTCAGTAGCTGGATATGCCTGCCACCCTCCCCTCCCACTGGGGCACAATGGTGCCTAATAGCTCTGGGACCTCTGTACCCAAACTGAAACTCTAAATTGGGGCTCAATTTTCCTTTTGAGGATGTAGACATAAATGCTGATCTAGAATATAGTCTGGGTCCCACACTGTTTCTCAGTGAGACTGTTGATTCCTTGAAAAGACCATTCTAGCTTGAGCCCTGTGGGGTGAGGGTGACAGGTACTCTATGACTGGGCCTATTCTGTGTTGTGGGCTTTGGTGCTGCTTTATTAGGGGCAGGTGTATGGGTTTGAGAGTACCTACCACGATCTGGAAGCATTTATATTTCATTGAAGCCACGCTGTTTGCATGGGTGTTGTTTGTCTGTACCTCAGAGTCTGAGGATGCTAACTTTAGAACTCACAGTCCTCTAGAACAGATTCAGGCTATAGCTTTTTCTTTTAAAGAAGAAATGATTCACTCCAGATGCATGTCCTGAGCCAGACCTCACTGCTGCACTTTCCAAGGTGCTAAAATTTGCTGCTCTCCAATGCTGACTTCATTCACAGTGCTCTAGAACCCTGCCCATAATCCTGAGCACTGATCAGTTTAGCTAGACATGGTTGACTCTTCTTGGAGATTTTTACTTGGTCCCAGAATATGGCAACATGGATGTGTTTGTTAGAAAGTGGGACCAAATTGGCCTCAGGTGTTTAGTCCAGACTTTTGCTTTTGAGAGAGGGCTGCACTTTTTAATGGTCTCTATGGGGGAGGTGGTAGACTGCATATGCCACTTGGTCTGTTGTGAGTATGCTGATATTAGAAACTCAGAGCTGGTCTATGGCAGGCAGTTGGGGTGGGGGGTCTGACTTGCTCAGGACTAACTAGGCCAGTGGTTTTCAAACTGCTTGGCAGAGCCCCAAAGTATCCTAGGGGTTGCCTCAGGAGTCCTTGGGGAGATGAAGGGGATGGGGGCTGAGCAGGCTGGGCAACTTGCCCTCAAACAGAACAGCTCCTCTTGTAGCTGTCTTACATACCGGGGTTCAGGGTAAGATTTTATTTGCATTAAGGGTTTTGCTGCTGAAAAATAAAAGTTGGAAAACCACTGACTAGACCATCAGCTCCAAATTGGAGCCTGTGCTCCCCAAGGTTTGGGGCAGACTCTTCACTCTACCCACTACCACAAGATACTTATCTGTGTTAGCATTCCTGGGGGGCTTTAGCAAACTGGGGCAGCAGGGACCATGATCAGGTTACCAAAGTGCCCCATTCTGAGGCCTTCACACCTGGGTGGAAGGAGAGGCTTTTTTATGAAAGGGTAAAGGGCTTGGTCTGGATTCCCAAAAGCAGAGCTTGGATGAGATCACAGTGGGCAGTTTTGACCTGTTTTGCCCTTCTTAGTTTGAGGAGCAGTGGAAACCCCAGAGACTCTTCTGTCAGGGAAAACTAGGGACTCTCTTCTAGAGCCATATAGTTCCTTGGGATTAGCTCTTGGCCAAGAAGGCTGAGTATGGCTCCCAGTTTTTAAATTCATTTATTTTTTTTTAATGAGGAAAATAAATGTAATGGCCATTTTTCAAAGATTAAATAGGTGGAGAGGGTGTTTCTTGCTCTCCAGAGCCCAAAGGGACAAATAGGGACTTTGCTTAGGCCAAGGAAGGACTGGAAGTAGGGCAACTGGGTCCTGCGATTATTAATTGTACTCCCCACTTATTGTAGGGCATACATACACTATTTTACTTTTTTAAAATCATAAAACGGCAGGAGAACAGATTTGGTTAGTTTAGAAGAAAAGAAAAAGCTCTATAAATATAAATATATATTCCTGTATTTTTATTTAATAATTTATAAATATCAAGTTCATTTGACTTTTATTTTTGTGTAATATGTAATGGTCGTATTAAAAAAATAAATAAAGCCCAGAAGTTTAATGAGAAGGACTGAACAGGGTTTTGTGACTTTATACTGTATAACTGGGGTCAGAACATTCCTTGATCCAATCATCTGTTCGTGATATTGCTAAGGGCAAGAATTAGAGTTATAGGGTTTTGGGAAACTGTTGAGATTAAAAAAAAAAAAATCAGAGTTGTTCTACCATCTTCCTCACCCCACCCCTATTCTGGTCAAGTACCCAAAGCCAAGAACTCCATCTATCCCAACCCAAGCTTCAAGAGGGTGTAGGTATATGGTACTTTGGGACCGCCACAAACAAAAAATCAAAACAAAGAAAACCTCCCTAAAATCTTTATGCAAAATCAACTCCCCAGCTATTGTTTGGCCTCAAATCAGAAGTGTGTGATAATGATCCTTTCTCACTGATGCCTACTTCAGATTTAGAATATATCTATCAGAAATGGAGCTCCTGCTTTCTTGTCTAGTCCCCAGAGATATTTGGTTTCAGCCATTTCACTGCAAACTGCTAATTGGATGGAATCTCCAGGATTATTCAGTCCATTCCCCTCTGTACCTCTAGTTAGGACCACATCAGAATCATTTCTGACAGGAACCGTGATTTTAATTTTAAATTTCAAATGGAAATTTCTGATCTTTCTATATCCCAGTGCAATAAATTGATGTTTGGGTTTATGTGTTAAATTGTGAGAAATAATTGCTTAGAGGAATCTAGTATTGCCTTTCTACTCTCTCCCTATAGGAAAATCTACAAAAGAAGCTGTAGGAAAATCAGAGAGTAGCCTGGTGAATACATACTAAGAAAAAGGAAATTAGATATTCTTAATATCATCAGGTATGATAGCTAGTGCTTCTATCTGTGCTGCAGTGTGTTTTATATTTACCTAGTTCCAAATAATTTTGAAACATTTTAATATACAAAAGAAAAAACAAAGAGAAAATAAAATTATTTTTAAGTATGGGTAAAGGGAAAATTGAAATATTATAGTGAATTTAAGTAAAAGGAAAATTAATACACAGAAGAACATCCTATAAGTAGTATTCCCAAATACAAAAGCCAGGCTATGAATTTGGCTCTCAGCTTGGCAGCCAAAGCAAACTGAAAAATATAATGAGGTTCACATTCCTTTTAGGACTTAAAAACCAATCAGTAGGGCTGGGGTTGTGGCTCAAGTGGTAGAGTGCTCACCTAGCATGGGTGAGGTACTGGGTTCGATCCTCAGCACCACATAAAAATAAAATAAAGATATTGTATCCAACTTAAAAAAAAAATCAGTTACTCAAGAAGAGCAAAAAGTTCTGTGATTTTTCCAAGAATACAATTGGTGATATGGTTGACACCATTCTTTATAATACCTAACAGCAAATATGATGTTGAATTCTATACCACTATTTCCTCTAGAAACACAAACAGGGATTTAGAAGGTCTATCAGGCTCATAACAGTTTAGCCACATATGCTGCTTTATGATGGTCTGATTTAGTTAGGGTTAAACTTCAGTCTATCCAAAGGACAGATGGACTGTGTTTCCTTCAGACAGTTCTCCATAAGTGCTATTTCTCCAAATGGCACTTCAGTTAAAGTCAAGCAACATTTAGTTATAATTTTTAGCAAATGGATTAACTGTAGATATTCTGTTATCACTTAATAGTAAGTAGGTCCTTTGAAAACTTAAAAGACTGCCTTAAATGTGAACATAGGTGAAATATATAAATATATTAACTTTTAAAACTCAACCAGAAAACATAATAGAGTGCTATGCAGTTGTTTTTTCATTCATCATTCATTCACACAGAGCAAATGTTTAAGCATCTTCTGTGTGGGAAGCACAGTTCTAGGCACTGAGGTAAAGTAAACAGACAGACTCAGATCTCTACCTGCATGTTGCTAACATTCTAGGGAAGGAATAAAAAATGAACAAAATTCCATAATATTTTAGAAGGTGATCAATTCTATAAAGAAAAATAATTGAAGGATGATGGAAATATGTTTGTAGATATTCTTACACTTTAATTAATAAAATTTCAATCTTAATTAATTTTAATTTAGAAATTAAAATACTAGAGATTAAACCCAGAGGCACTTTACCATTGAGATACCTCCGTAATTCTTTTTATTTTTTATTTTGAAACAGAGTCTCACTAGGTTACCCAGTCTGTCCTCAAACTTGCAATCCTCTTGCCTCAGCCTCTGAATAGATGGGATTATAGGTGTGTGCCACTGGGCCTAGCTAGATTTTAATTTTAAAGAGTGGTCAGACAAGCCCCTATTTTCTAAAGGGATAATTTTTAAGTAAAAACATGAAAAATAAAATTAGAGAAATATATTATTGAAATGGAAAGATGTTTCTGTATTTTATTGCATAAAAAAGAGTATCTGTGGACTGGGATTGTGGTTCAATGGTAGAGCATTTGCCTAGCACGTGCAAGGTGTTGGGTTCGATCCTCATCACCACTTAAAAATAAATAAATAAATAAAGACTATCTGTTAGAAAATAACATCATATGATATGATCCTTTTTTTTTCTTTTTTGTAGTGCTGGGGATTGAACCCAGGGCCTTGTGCATGCGAGGCAAGCACTCTACCAGCTGAGTTATATCCCTAGCCCACTGATCCCATTTTGGAAAAATATATGTGTATGTATGTGCCTCTTTGTATTTATAGTTTGAACATTTTAGGAAGAGTATATGTTAAGATATCAGTAGTGATTATCTTTGGGTGGCAGATTTTATGAGTGATTTTTGTTCTTTTTGCTATCAGTATTTTCTGATGTTTTGATGATGAACATACACATATGGTGCATTAAAGCTAGTATTTCAGTTACAAAGTTTTAAAAAAGTTAACCAGTCAGAATGGAAATTAAGCAGTCCTGCATAGGTTCCTTCACATTTAAATGGACAGCCCCCAACTATCAAGGACAGAGCTAGGGAGTTGAGATATGAAGACCATACCATGGTAGAAGATAATTGGGAACTGCTATAAAAGAGAGGTAAGTAAAAATAAAGGTTTCAAAGTTCTGTTAGCAATGTCCAATAGAAATAAGATACAAGCCACAGATGTAGTTTTCTGTGATCTACTAACCTCATTAAAACTACAAAAAAGAAACAGGTAAAACTAATTGTAATAGTATTTTATTTAGCCCATGTATTAAAAATATTATAATTCCAATATTAATATTAAATAACTATTAATAAGTTATTTCATATACTCTTTTTCATACAAAGTTATAATATTTTGGTATAGTTTACATTTTCAGCACATCTCACCTACACATTTCAATTGCTCCATAGCCACATATGACTAGTGACTACCATATTAAACAATGTTATTCTAGATCATAGATTATTATAGTCTGTGAAAATTTCAAAGCAAATATTAAAAGTAGGTATGAGACTACCCAGAAACCAAATATTTATGTTATCTACTGACAAAACTTTTCCCTTTTGAACAGAACTAGAGATATCTTCACCCATTTTTACCATTTAATTATCCTTTTCTCAACTCCACTGACCTCTCCTTCTATTAACACATTTTTTTCCCCCTCTTCTGGATGGGGCACTGGAATTTCAGTTTTTTCCAAAACTATCATCCTTTATTTATAGCTTATAACTTAAGGAGAAGAATGCTCATAATGATGAAACTCTTAACATTACATATGAATTCTTAAAAATTTATTTCAGAGAAAAACTCCTTGATAGTCTCTTCATCAACATGAGGCAAAATATTAAATAGGTTCATTCATTCAGTTAACATTTATATAGTACAGAATGATAGGCAAAGGGAATACAAATATAATTAAGATATCCCTTTTACCACTTAGAATCTCATAGGGAAAGAGAAATCACATTCAAATATCCTTTTTTTAAATTGATTTTTTCATACACATGTTTTTAGTTGTTGATGGACCTTTATTTTATACATTTATTTATAGGTGGTGCTGAGAATTGAACCCAGTTCCTCACACATGCTAGGCAAGCACTCTACCATTGAGCCACAACTCCAGCCCTCAAATATCCTTTTCAATGTGTTTGTTTCTTTGATAAAGTAATCATGCTTATTAGAAAAAGAGTGCAAGTTGGAGCAATTTTTTAAAATTATGTGTTAATTTTGAAAAATCATAACGGAAAATTATAAAGCAGAAAATTAGCTGGGTGTGGCGATGCATGCATGTAATCCTAGTGGCAGGAAAGTCACAAATTCAAAGACAGCCGCAGCAATTGAACAAGGCTCTAAGCAACTTAGCAAGACCTCGTCTCAAAATAAATGAAGAAAAGAGCTGGGGATGTGGCTCAGTGGGTGAGTGCTGCTGGGTTCAATCCTTGGTTCCAAAAAAATAAAACAAAACGAAGAAAATTAATCATAATTCTACTACCAGAGAGAACTACTACTAACATTTTGGTTTATTTCTTTCCAGTCTCTTATCTGTGGTTTTGTGATCATACTGCACATATAATTTTGTATATAATTCTGCTTACTATTATATTGCAAGCATTTTTCCTTGTCATTAAAACATTTTCAAGGCCTAATGACTATATAAAATTACATATGTGTGTGTATAATAATTTTATTCCCACTAGGACATTTTAAGTAGTTTATTTTTTTATGTTTTTTTTTACTCTGATAAACATCTTTGTTCATATGTTAATCAGTTTTTCCTTTTGCTTTGACCAAAATATCAAACAAAAACAACTGAGAAGAGAAAAAGTTTATTTTGGACTCACAGTCTCAAACCCCAAGTGACCTATTTCCTTTAGCCACACCCTACTGCCTATAGTTACCACTCAGTGGTCCATTTAAATTATTTATTCATCAAATGATTACTCTACTGATGAAGTTAGTTTTCATGATCTAATCATTTCACCTCTGAACATTCCTACATTGCCTACCACAGAGCTTTTGGGAGGACACCTCATATCCAGACCATAACAATTCACAATTGTTTATTCACCTTTTGATTACGTCTTAAGAACCAATTATAAGAAATAGAATTATGTTCCGGTGTGGTGGTACATGCCTGTAATCCCAGTGGCTTGGGAGGCTGAGGCAGGAGGATCACAAGTTCAAAGCTAGCCTCAGCAACTTAGTGAGTCCCTAAGCAACTCAGTGAGACCCCATCTCTAAATAAAAAATAAAAAGGGCTGGGGATTTGGCTTAGTGATTAAGCACCCCTGGGTTCAATCCCTGGTACCAAAAAAAGAAAAGAAAATGAATAGAATTATGGGTTAAGAATCTCAACTTGTGTTTTTTTTTTTTTGGTGCTGGGGATCTAATTCAGGGGCACTTTACCACCTAGCTACATTCCCAGCCTTTTCTTTCTTTCTTTTTTAATATTTATTTCTAGTTGTAGTTGGACACAATACCTTTATTTTATTTATTTATTTGTTTGTTTTTATGTGTTGCTGAGGATCGAATCCAGGGCCTAACATGTGCTAGGAAAACGCTCTATCGCTGAACCACAATCCCAGCCCTCATCCCCAGCCCTTTTTATATTTTGAGACAGAGTCTCACTAAATTGCTGAGAGTCTCACTAAGTGGCTGAGGCTGGCCTCAAACTTGATCTTCCTGTCTTGGCCTCCCAAATTGCTGGAATTATAGGCATGTGCTATCACACCAGGCAAATCTCAATATTTATTATAGTTTTTCTTGCATATTGATAAAGAATCAAAAGATGGCATTGGTTTTTGTTTCTTTTTCTCCCATGTTGAAGTTTTTTTTATTGTAATTTTTTAAACTTTCAGATATACATACATTTGTAATCATAGTTTATATACAATTTTATCTTCTACTACTTTGACCTGACATCATTTTGCATGTTACACACATAATGTACAGACCTTTTATTAGAAACAAAATAATCTTTGGATATAATTATGTAATAATTATGTAATAATGTTTAATTTAAGCATTATTGGGATTTATACCTTTTCCAGTTTTCAATATAATATCATAATCTAATTTTTTGTATTAAATCAGACATAGTAGTTTTTTATTTTGTTTAGTCGTTACTGGGGATTGAATTCAGCAGTGCTTACCACTGAGCTATATTCCCAGTACTTTTTTTTTTTTTTTTTTTGAGACAGGGTCTCCCTAAATTCCTCACTAGGCTGATCAGGCTGGGCTTGAATTTGAGACCCTCCTGTGCCTCTGGGATTACAGGAGTACACCACAGTTTTTGGCATTAATTTTTTTTTTTGGTACCGGGGATTGTACTCAGGGGCGTTCAACAACCACTGAGCCACATCCCCAGCCCTATTTTGTATTTTATTTAGAGACAGGGTCTCACTAAGTTGCTTAGGGCCTTGCTAAATTGCTGAGGCTGGCTTTGAACACAAGATCCTCCTGCTTCAGCCTCCTGAGCTGCTGGGATTATAGGCGTGTATTATGGGATTATAGGTGTGCACTATGGGATTATAGGCATACACCATCTTGCTCTGCTGGCATTAATTTTGATCTAAGCTTTGAAAGCTGATTTCGAGTTCCCTGCACACTATAAATTAGCTTTATGACACTGACAAGTTACTTTACTTCTTCAGCCCTTTTTCTTCTTTACTTAGAAAGGTTATTGTTTGTGGAAATATTTACATTTCACAGAATTGTGAGAATTCAATGAGATTATACAAAGAATAGTGCCTGCTACAAAATCAAGTACTTAACAGGATTCAAAGGCATTTTGAAAAAAATCCCATTTCCCTTAGTAGTCTTGCTTAAATTATGCAACAGTGAAGCACTCAGAATTGGATTAGGTTAGGATCAGTATAAAAGACACTCCTCCTTCCAGAGAACTCATTTAGAGCTTGTCTTTCGTGCTCAACTTTAGTTTTCCTAGATCACTGAAGCTGAGATGGCTGATGAAAATTGCACAAGAAATTTAAGTGACTGTGATTCTGCTCAAAGTAACTCAGTTCCTGAGGTAAGGAAGTGGGAGAAAAAGTGGACCATGGAAAAAGGGGTATAATGAGTGCTTCTTACTTTTTGGATCTTCTCTTGTCCAGATTCTGATGCTCCAATCATACTTGTTTAACTTTTGGGTTGGGTTCTTGTGAACCTGACTCTCAAACCTGCCTGTAGTTTTGGTCTCCCCATAAAAAAATTCTTGTAAACTTAGCACCACCATTCTTTACATTTTAATAAGTGTGTAGGATCGCTACTCAAATGTGGAAACCTTTCCTTCTCCAGGGCCAGGTGTTATTGATATCTTAGAGTGCAGCAGTGTGGTGGGAACCTGCCCCAAGAAATTCCTCTGGGGCTTAAAAGGGGACTTGGAGCCTGGGAAATTGCAAAAGATGAAGAGGTGGCACCTAGATCCCCAAACAATGCATCTTTCAATCAACAAATACCCAGTATTATTAACACGTACTAGGCATCCTGCAGTGGAGATACAAACATAAATAAGATTCAGTCTCTTATCTGCAGGTACTCACCACCTATTTAGGAAATTCAGTACGGAACAGTTAAGTTACTGAGGAGGTAGGCCCATTGGTCTCCGGACCAGAAAGGCCGCTGTAGGAGATGGGGAGGGTTGCACAGACTTGATTGAGGAAAGACTACATATACACAGTCTGGATGCCAGGCAACAAAATTCGCATAGTAGGTCTTGGGGTGTCTAAGATCACTGTAAGGAATTTTGAGACTTTACCTGATAGGAAAGGGAAGCCAGTCTGGTAGCGGTTAGGATTGGACGGATATTGAAAGCTGGGAGAACCCCATAGCGGCTGCAACAGGCTAGAATAGAGAAGAAATAGGCTGAAATTAGGCAGCGCGGGGGTCCTGGAAAAGAGGTCTATGAACTGGTAGGTCTGAGTGAGGATTCTTACATTCTTTGTGGTTTGGGAGACTTAATGGATGGTGGTGCCAATAACTTTGAAATTGGAAAAATTCCCCCTTAGAATGCTCCATTCAGAACCTCTAATTCCGGCAGCATCCCACCTACTGGTGCTTGGTTGGAACTTCCAGAAATCTCTACCCTGTATGGGGCCTCTGCCTTCCAACGCTCACCGGTGTCGGCAGTAATGTCAAGATGGCGGCTCCCTAAGGACTGACTAGTCATGTGACCTAGCTTGAAGTCCGACAGCCCGTTCGGGGGCAAGGTTCACCTGTCACGCTACAAGTGTCAGCTCTTCGAATCTCGCAAGCCAATCGGCATCTGAGACCCGGCTACTGCTGTAAGGCGATCGGAAGATTGGTCCTTTCCAGTTGATCTTAATCAGGGACCAATCACAGAACGTCCTATACTTCGCGGGCCCTCCCGTAGGCTGGGGAGAAGCAGGAATGTCGTCACAGCGTGGCAGTATTGTTACCTAAGGCCTCGAGAGGAGGTGGGACGAATGTTGATTGACAGAGAGGTTTCCCCTACCGGGATTTGAGAATTTGGTACAGTGCCCCGCCTAAGAGGTGGGGTCTTATTTGATTGCCAACTGATACTCCCCAATGGAGTGCTATCTTGGAGTGACGGGCAGGTTGCTTGACTAATGAATCCTCCGCGAGGCCCGCGCAGTTCTCCAATCGCTGGGCGGCGGGCCCCAGTCTGAGCGGCGATGGCGGCGGCGGCGGCGGCGGCAGCAGCAGCGGGGGCTGCGGGCGGTCGGGGCTCCGGGCCGGGGCGGCGGCGCCATCTTGTGCCCGGGGCCGGTGGGGAGGCCGGGGAGGGGGCCCCGGGGGGCGCAGGGGACTACGGGAACGGCCTGGAGTCTGAGGAACTGGAGCCTGGGGAGCTGCTGCTGGAGCCCGAGCCGGAGCCCGAGCCCGAAGAGGAGCCGCCCCGGCCCCGCGCCCCCCCGGGAGCTCCGGGCCCTGGGCCTGGTTCGGGAGCCCCCGGCAGCCAGGAGGAGGAGGAAGAACCGGGACTAGTCGAGGGTGACCCGGGGGACGGCGCCATTGAGGACCCGGTGAGGGAAGGAGGGCGAGCGAGCAGGCGGGCAGCAGCCGACCGGCCGGGTCATGGGAGGCCCAGAGCTCGGGCGAGCGAGCGGGAGGCAGGCTGGGGGTGGGGTTGGGCGGGGAATAACGTGGCTGGGGCCGGGCGGGGGACGGGTCCTGGATCGTCGCAAGGGGCCCGGCAGTGTTGATTTGGGCGTCATGGGTGTTTAAGATTGTTACGGAGAAGGTAACTTGCTTTTCTTTTCATCACGACCCTCGCGTGGGGCGAGGGAAATGGCCGAGCATGGCTGGGGCCGCGCGCCTATCGAGAGCACGGCACAGCCCCTGCGTTGGTTCCTCTTAAGCTCTTTTGCATGCCCTCCCCATTCATTGTAGGAGCTTGAAGCTATCAAAGCTCGAGTCAGGGAGATGGAGGAAGAAGCTGAAAAGCTGAAGGAACTACAGAACGAGGTAGAGAAGCAGATGAATATGAGTCCACCTCCAGGCAATGGTGAGTAAACCGGCGGTTGCACGCGCAGCCTGGGTCTTCGGGTTGGAATGGTTGTGGGGAGCACGGGGAATGTGGCATTAGATGCTCCGGATCCTGGAGCTGCTTGTTTGAGCAATTACTGGGCATTTGCTGCGGTCATAGTCCATTGTGTGTTCCGTTGACCTTTGTGAGACATAACCTATGTTTTGGTAGTTGTAGTCTTGTGTCTCCCTTTGTTTCGGTTATAAATGTGTTTCTCTTTGTTCTTAGCCTGCCTTTACCCGGCTGGAGATTGCCAGCTGGCATGTGACCTTCAAGTCTAATTTTTTTTTTTTTTCAGTTGGAGATCCTTTAGTTAGGACTCTTAAGAGAAGTGGGTAGGCTGCTGGGGGCCTCTTTAATCCAGAAATGTCGAGTCTCAGCCCACTCAATTTTGTTTGGTCTTCAAGGCATTTTAACAAAGCTCTTCATAGGTGCTTGATTTGGGAGTGGAGTATTCTTACACTGTTCTCTGATTGTTAAGGATGTATTTCATTTATTCCTTAATATTTAGTGAGAACGTATTGTGTGCTAGGCACTGATCTAGGTAATGGGTACAAGAGGGAACAGAACTGAACAAGGTCTTTCTCTTTGCTGAAATGATAGGGTGGCGGTGGTGGTGGAAGTGCATATATTGGTTCAATAGAAAATCTACTTCTTTTTTGAATTATTTTTGTCTATAGCTGGCCCAGTGATCATGTCTATTGAAGAGAAGATGGAGGCTGATGCCCGTTCCATTTATGTTGGCAATGTATGTATTGGGGTTCTGATTGAGATTGGGGGACATTCTTGTTTGGGGCAGTTATTTAATAATCTTGAAAGGAAGATCGCCAGTATAAGTTGGCAATTTTAAAAGTGGTTGAGGGAGGTTTGGGGGGGAGGTAAAAAGTGATGGAGTAATCAACAAAGACTGGGAATGGAAGAAAAAGGGTAATTCCTTAGAGAACCATATTTGATGTGCTGTGGGTTATAGAGATGGCCCAGACCAAAGGCCAGGCAGGGTACCTGTTGAGAAAAGAGTTTGCTCAGTACCTGTGAAATATCCCTTCTCTTTAGGTAGACTATGGTGCAACAGCAGAAGAGCTGGAAGCTCACTTTCATGGCTGTGGTTCAGTCAATCGTGTTACCATACTCTGTGACAAATTTAGTGGCCATCCCAAAGGGTAAGTAGGGGAATAAATTGAGATAATTGTTTGAAGAATATTTTTTAGTTGTAGATGGAGACACAGTACCTTTATTTCATTTTATTTTTTTATGTGGTGCTGAGAGTCAAACCCAGTGCCTCACATGTGCCAGGCAAGCACTCTACCATTGAGCCACAACCCCAGCCCAAGATAATTTTAATCAGAATTTAAAAGTAGATGTCTCCCCACATCTACATGTGTGTAGTTTTTTTGTTTTGCAGCACTAGGATTGAACCCCAGGGCCCAGGGCCTTGTGCATGCAAAGCATGTGTTCTATCACTGAGCTACACTCCCACCGATAATTTATGTTTTATGTTGGTTGGTAATTACTTGATGTTTAAAAAAAATGGTCTTGGGGGTTGGGGATATAGCTTAGTTGGTAGAGTGCTTCCCTAGTATGCATAAAGCCCTGAGTTCAAACCCCAGCAGCAGCAGCACCACCACCATACACACCCACCCACCCACACACACACACACAAACATAAGAGGGGCTGGGGTTGTGGCTCAGTGGTAGAGTGCTCACCTAGTATGCATGAGGTGTACTGGTTTTGATCCTTAGCACCACATAAATATAAAGAGATTGGGTCAAGCTAAATCTTAAAAAATAAATGTAAAAGAAAGGAAAAAAGGGCTGGGGTATAGCTTCGTTGGTAGAGTGCTTGCCTTGCATGCACAAGATCCTGGATTCAATCCCCAGCATCACAAAAAAAAAAAAAATGAGGTCTTTGCCTTCTAATGTGTCATTAAACTTGATAATGTACTGGGTTACACATAAAATACCTCCAGAGGCCAGACAGAGGATAAAATTAAAGCCTAGGTGTGGGCAGGATGAAGAACTAGAAGCTTGTAGTTGACCCCAGCATATAGAAATCTTGGTCTTTTTGTGGTGCTGGGGATTAAACTCAGGGCCTCGCACATGGCTAAACATGTTGGTGTTTAGTGATTTTCCAAGAATAGCTGGAAATTTTGATTAAAACCTTTCATTTTTAAAATCAACTAATTAGGGGCTGGGGATGTGGCTCAAGTGGTAGCGCACTCACCTGGCATGCGTGCGACCCGGGTTCGATCCTCAGCACCACATACAAACAAAGATGTCGTGTCCACCGAAAACTAAAATATAAATATTAAAAAAAAAATTCTCTCTCTTTCTTTAAAAAATAAAATAAAATCAACTAATTAAAAATGTAAACACATTACACTCCTAACAAATAACCTATGAAATATTGTAAACTCAGATAAAAAAATGACAATTATTCTTTTCAGGTTTGCATATATAGAGTTCTCCGACAAAGAGTCAGTGAGGACTTCCCTGGCCTTAGATGAGTCCTTATTTAGAGGAAGACAAATCAAGGTAAGGCCTGTGCCCTTTGTTCTGGTTATATAAACTAACTCTCTCCAGTTGACTCTAAGGCTTTCTGTTGTGTATTCTTTCTGCTCAGGTGATCCCAAAACGAACCAACAGACCAGGCATCAGCACAACAGACCGGGGTTTCCCACGTGCCCGCTACCGTGCCCGGACTACCAACTACAACAGTTCCCGCTCTCGATTCTACAGTGGTTTTAACAGCAGGCCCCGGGGTCGCGTCTACAGGTCAGGATAGATGGGCTGCTCCTCTTCCCAGCCTCCCATGAGCCCTGTTATGCTTCATTCTCTCCTGATCTGAGGACCGACCCTCCCTTTCCCTCCCCTTGGTCTCCTGCTTGTGCAGGGTGAGGAAGGTAGTTGTAGGCCAGGTCAGGAGGCCAGTCTCATCATCTTTGGAGCAGAAATTGGTGATAAGTGCTGATCTATTTTGCGAGATGCTTCCCCCTCCAACCTTTTTCCCCCCCTTGGGAGTTGGTGGCATTGAAGGTGTCATTGAAAGTTAAGAAAAGAACAGGGTCTCAAGACAGTGAAAAGCACTGCTTGGACATTGCTACTATTCCCAGAGTTAGGGAGGGGTAAAAGTTTGAATCTTCTTTGGAAGGATACCAGAGGCTAGTTGAATTCTCCCATAGCCATGTGGGAGGGTTTTGGGATACTTAATTATTTAATGGACCTACTCTTTTTTGAGGTTAACTTTCTCACAGGCCCAATGTGGTACCCAAGTTGTGGCTTTGCTTTTTACTTTTGTCTTTCTAAATAGGTCACACATATAAGCCTTTACTTTTCATATAAGATAGGGTTTGAGAACTGTGGAGAACTGAAAACTGGATAAACAATGGGTCCTTTTTTCTTTCTCCTTTATCTCAGATGCACTTCTTTATTGCTGCTGTTTGGCAAAGTATTCCATTAATGCCCTGTTAGCCCCCTGTTTGCCAGGTGTTTCTCTGATTCTGGGATTGTGGAGTCAGTTTTAGGATACTTGAAAAACTTCTTTTCCCCCCTTCCCTTCACAATAACTGGGGCAAGGGCCCACGGGGAGGGGCTTATACTGAACTATCTAGTGATCATGTTAACACCTAACTCTCCTTCTTTCTTCCAGGGGCCGGGCTAGAGCGACATCATGGTATTCCCCTTACTAAAAAAAGTGTGTATTAGGAGGAGAGAGAGGAAAAAAAGAGGAAAGAAGGAAAAA